TATAAAGTGACTGGTAACCTTATAAAGTAACTCCGTATCAGAGGCAATCTGGTATACTTGTGAAACACGCTGTAGCATCCTGGCTTGTTCTGCCAAGTGTGTTGTTGATCACTGTCTATACATCTTTCCATTATCGAGTTGCTTGTCCTGGTCATGTAGCAAAAAGCGTGAGCAAAGCAACGTAAACATCCCTTTTCTGCTCAGCAGCTTCCTCCAGACCCTACAGCACGATTTGCAAATGCTGCAAAGCCAGCTGAGGTATCTCAGGCCTCCAGTGAGTCCTGGGTGCCCCATCAGTTGTGCCCAGCACATCTGCAAAGGGAGACAGCCTGGAGAAGGGCTGGGTATCAGGCCTTTACAGTATACCTCTACATACCAACCAAATTAAATTGTGTCCACGGACACTAATGCAGTGAGAAGTTCGACATATTTTTACATGCAAAATTGTTTATTCATTATATATGTTTATATTCCTAAACCAAAGAATTGAGAAGAGCATTGTTTTGATATTGGTAACAAATGTAACTCTTATGGTCAGGCACTGCAAGTTATCTTAGACTATACATGTTGTGGCGTGTGGCATTTGGTTATGCTACATACTTGTCCCTATACAAATGAACTATAAAATAAAACAAAGTCACATTCCCAGTGATACCCAAACCCAGCCTGGCGCAACCTCACTATGTGCACAAACATCCCCAGTTCTCTCAGTATAAAGAAGCAGGGGGTCTAAACCAGGGCCTTTTTGAATCACTGAGCACCTCACTGCAGCTGTAACTAAAGATTATTGTCAACTCTTCTTCTTCTCTTCTTTTTTTCACAATTAACTGATTATATGTTTTGTGAAAAACATGTCAAAAAGTTGACATCACAATTCCCCAGAGCGTAAGTGGATATGGATTCCTCATTTTGTCCGACCAAGACTCCAAAACCCAAAGATATTCAACGTACAATCATATAAAACAAGAGAAAAACTGAAATAATCCCATTTAAGAACATTTAAGAAAGCTACTACTAGCAACTGTTTGGCATTGAAAAGTTATTCAATTCATTTTCTGTTGCCTGAATCAATCAATCAATCAATCCACTAATTGTTTTGTGTCACTTTTAGATTTTTCAGTATGTTGCTGTCATGTTAAGCAGAAAATGTTTGTGCTCTGCGGAAACAGGTTCAACATGAATCAGTTTTATAGGATACCTGTGAATTCCAACCACCTCTATCTCGCCTGGATACCTGAACTCAGCACTGTATCAGTTTGTATGTGTAGAAGGAGCTTTAAACAAACTTTTAGACTCCATGCTAGTGTAACCCAACAAGGACGCCTCTTTTTTCTAGTCATAATTTTAAATTTCTAATGAGACACAAATCGGTGGATCAAAGGGTTGTGCAGTCTAAGAGGCCGCACTGCAGAGCCTTGAGGAAAACTGCACAACGGCTCCACTACACTTACAGCAGATGATTATAAACACTCATTCAGTTAAGGAGTTGTGTGTCTCTGAAAATATGATGCACGATTTGTTATTAAATAGCTGCAGCATTTGCAATGCTCCTTGAAACAAACGTAAAAGCAAACACCAGCAAATCCTGCACATTGAAGATGGAGTGCTTGGCGCCCTCTGTCAGAGAGTCTGTGCAACTGTAACACTAGGAGAGCAGGTTAAATGTGTCTCTTTACATCCTCTAGTACAAAGCAGAGTTAAGGCTTTATGTTAAACTATTGAATGGTATTCAGAAAAATTATGAAAGCTTTCTTTTACAGGGATAAATAGAATAGAAATGGAAAAAATATATAAACATGCATCCCTTGAACCCACTGCCTACCTGAGGAAATCTTTCAGCCCGGACAGCTCATAGCCAGGCAGGTGAACGATGGTGGGATCTTTGTGTGTCTGTCCCACAAGAACATGAGGAGCTCTGGCCAACAGTACGGCTCTGTGTGCTCGGAGCGAGCCCGAGGCAGCGTACAGAGAAACATCAGCCTCCAGCTCCTCCTGCAGCAACCTAAGGAAATACATTACACACTGTATCAGAGGCCGGCCACACTCAATTCACCTTCACTCACTGATTAAAGGAAAAATCCTGCATGAACCCCATCAGTGGGAATGCGCTGACATTAACCAGACAGAATGTTCATATTAAAAGTACATTTGAAACCAACATAGAAAATATACAATAAACAAAGGCTCTCTTAACCAACCTCTCCGATCTATGAGACTCAAAGATTAATCTGATGGCCTACTTTCCCACTTAAGAACAACGCTAGCACAGTCCTGAGGCAGTCCATTTCGTCTTCCCCGTCGTTATTTCTCGCACCGCCTCAATGACTGATCTGGGTGACCCAGAAATCAGTCAGCTTAAGGCCAGTTGAGCAGTGGTATGGGTTCAATGGTACTGTGTCCATTACTGTAACCCTCTGATGAAAAGTGCCCAAACTGATGAGCCGCTCATGCAACGAGGAGACTCACATGCCTGTCGACTAAAACCCAATGAACATGCTCAAATCCACTTGAGCTTGTTTCTTGTGCGATAACAGTTGGTGTAACTTTGCTCTATGCAGGGTTTCGTACTCCAGATCCACTGATCCTATTATCTGAGGAAAAACACCAGCCTTAGATATTTTAATATCACATGTAACAAAGGTATGAAATTCTGTGACTAACAGCTGTATTTGACCTGCTTAGTGCACAACATTCCTCCATTCCTTCCGTTAGGGAACTGATAGGCATAAATTTGATTTTGGTCAAATGTTGCTGTATGGCATTTATTAACCCTACCCCTAACCCTTTGGTGGTCTAAATAATGAAATATTATTAAAATGAACAAAAAGAAGAACTGTAAGGTTGGTTAAAGGGATTATTTAGTATTCCACATATTTACAAAAAGTAATTTAAAACAAATATTGGTGGAAATTGAAGCAGCCTCTGGAGATATCCTGACTTTTTATTCCTACTATGGATCATACTCTTACGAGGCTGAACCCTACAGTTCCCACAATGCAAACAAATAACCCACAGACCTCCCTGCCTCCTAAACGCCCCACATCTCCAGTTTCTAATGCAGGTTTCTTCCTTCCTTCTCAGTAAGGGCTGAGATAACTCTGATGACAGCATTATTTTTCAGACTTTGGAACGCCCCTCCAGAGCCACAGAGGACATGGTGGCAGTGGTTCCCAACCTTCTTCCTCTGACCTGATTTCCATCATCATCATCATCATCATCATCATCACCTAATATGCATCTTTTTCAACAGATTCAGGGATTTATTTTTCCTGACACTTGGCCATTGTTCTATTACATCTATTAGTTTATATCTTAAATAATATTCTTAACATAAAAAATAATGAAGTAATGAATGAAATACTGAGCTGTAGACCTACTATATATGTACTTTATAAAAGTGTTCAGTGTGTAGGATTTAGTGGCATCTAGCAGTGTAGCTAATTCACTCGTTTCACCCTCCTGTTCCAAGCATGAAGAAGAAATCTACAGTGGCTGCAAAACTCGCAAAAAACGTGATGGGCCCCTGTCTAGAGCCCGTGTTTGGTTTGTCCATTCTGGGCTTCTGTAGAAACATTGCAGTTCAACATGGTGTCCTCCTCAGAAAGCAACTGGCAGCATCTGTATATAAAAATGGCTCTTTCTAAGGTAACGAAAACATGGTTCTTATTTTCAGGTTATTGTACGCTAATGAAAACAGAGTTATGCATATTATATCCCATTTCTGCCAGTAGATCTTTCTAAATGTGACTATCAAGGAGGCCTCACTACGCCCGGGGAACCTCTGGCGCCCCCGAGGTTGAGAACCAGTGCACTATGAGGTTTCTAAACTTTTCGATGCCAAGGCCCCCCAGGTAGCATTAGCTTATGGCCAGGCCCCCCCTTTTGAGAAGATGTCATTAAAAACTCACTGACAATCCAATATACAATGAGATTTCGATGTTATATATTGTTACTAATTATATTAGAATACATACTATAATAGGGTCATATTTATGTTTTATTTTATTTTAGCATTTTACCTCAAATTGTCTGAATTCCCCTTTGAAAAACACTGCATTATAGAACTTTTTTACAAGCTACTACTGTTTGTGAACCTAATGAGTAAAACGATGGAGTGGTGCCTCTTTAAAAGCTTAAAAACTGCAACTTGAGCTACGATTTTTTTGTCAAGCAACTGTTAATGGTGTTTTATATGACAGCACTGACCCGGATTTAACTGGATCTACCAGCAGGTCCTTTATACCGGTTCACTATTACTGACTGGGGGATGGCAGACCATTCAAGCGCCTTTAAAAGAAGCTGCAGAAGCAGCAAGAAGAGGTGAAAGCCCCATGTTGCTTTGACTGCAGTGTGAAAACTTTAAGACACAGGTCTTTGTTATTGACAGTTGCCACTGATCAGCATTTAATCTTTGCAGGCCTTTGCCGTTCAGCCCATACTGTCACATGCCTTACCCGTTTAGGTCTGCAGACAGAGCAGATGATAAACATCTCTTCAGCTGCTCTTTGTACTTGCGTTCTTTGGCCTGGAACTCTCTGGCAGCCTCGGTGGTGATCATGGTTCATTACGTTCTCTGAGACAGACACAAGACAGACACAAGACAGAGACCTCAGCATGTGCATTTGTTAAGCAGAGGAAGAAAGAGAAAGAGGACTAAATAGAATAATATAAAGAGGACGCCCTTAGGTGACTTGACATGTCTAGCAGCGATGCAACCTGGAGAGGCGCTGTTTTCCCAATTAGAAGAAAATCTATTAAAATGGGAAGAGATGACAGCGACTACCAGACACAAATTAATAAACTGTTACATGACCTAGAAAATGATTTAAGCGTATTATTATTAAAACAACAATCGCTTCAATGACACACGACCTACTTCCCTTAGCTTCCAGGAGAACACACCACTGATAACATCTCCCAGTATAACCAGTTTGTCTCAATAAGTTTCATTTATTCAAAAGCAAGCCTCGTCCAGAATAAAACACACTCAGCCACAGTCACACACACACACATACCTGTGCTAACACACGTATCTGCT